TGATCTGAAACTGATTCCACGTTAGTCAGATATGATATCCCAAATATATCCTTGTATATGAAATCGAAAGCTCTGCAAAAATCAACAGTACTCAAAATTCTTTGACTTCTGACGTATTAGTGTATTTCCATTTTTAAGCTCCAGTTTACAGTCATTGTTAAATTTTTGTTCCTAATTCTGTGACATTGGTAATGCAGGTGATAATTGTCATGGAAAATCGATTTTTAAGAATCATATTTTAAACTATTCCAATAAATCACCCGTCTTTTCTTGAAGTTCATAATAACAGTACTCATAACCAGAGTGGAAAAAATTCCTCTAAACCTCATTTTGATGTCTAGTCAGAAAGCGAAGAAAACCCTAACAATACAGTACCAATTTGTACTTTGAAGAATGAAGTATAGATTTGCAAAAAATCCTCGTCCTATATGACTATGTTTTATTGTAAAGGTCGAATTATCGTAAACCGACTGATGTTTTGTTTATTCTTAAAGATTTCTGTATGTCAAGGATGACGTCATGGTTGTATATTTAGTATGCGTTCGATGCAAAAATAGTCACTGTTATAAGACAAATCTAATAATTCAATAACAGTTCACAATAAATTCCAAATACATCGTTGAAACTATGCGTTGGCTTAAATGATTGCTTTTGGTTAGCAGATTTTTATCAAGGTTTTATTTCATGTCCAACCCTCTTCTTTTATCCGGGATAGAGATCGGCAGTAATCTTAAGAAGACTCCAGACGAAGTTTTAACTAAGGATTATCAATCAGATAAACCGCCACCCATCTTAAGCTTCCAATTAACATATATCGCTAGTATGACCGACTAACTGTTAGCCTCTAAATCTTTGGAAACGGATTTATTATAGCTGTACTAAATTCTTGACAGCACTACAGCTGGTTTAAATAAAAGTATTTCCCACTCTATTTTGCTGCATGATGATATAATTATCACTCTTCAAACTTTAATTATCTAACAAATTCTGCGCTGTAGGCACGACCAACTGACGAGTTCCGAATAGGGTAATACATGGATAATCTGTGTTGATTTTGTTTTATTTAAGCTCATATTAAAGGGTAAAGACTAGCGGAAAAATAACCGAAATTTGTTAGTCTGACAAATCTATTCTAATGTTCTTTAGTTAGTATGTAAATGATAAGTGTTATGAAAGAAAACAGGAAAATTATTATAACATATACAATAAGTAGAATATGTTGCTCTGAAAACACAAACAACAAAAAATAGTAACAATTGATTACCTTAAAATGTGCATGAGAATTTGAAGTTTCATATCTAGTTCATAGTTAGACTGAGTAAATTTTAAGACAACGATGAAGTTAAATGAACAGTGTAGACGAGTCATTTCAATGAAACAACTAAGTAATAAAAGCTGGACAGTCCTCCTATCTTAGAATTCATACTATAATCAATCAATATAAAACTAGTATTGTAGTGGGCGATAACTCAGGTGGAGGAAACAAATTTATTGTCTATTGCAAAATTACAGAGTGCCGTAGTAAAATATGAAAACTGTACATTCAGTATATCATGTGCATATCCTAATTGCGTTATCCTTTACCTACTCCAATATTCCTCTTATTCTGTTGTTATTTTGATTCCTCTCCGATTTCCTTTCTGTTCTTCTCAAGCATCCCACTTCGATCGCATCTGCATACTATTTATATCTGTCAACATGAGTAGCATACATCACAATATTACTAATATTCATTGAAATATTCTCATTTATATGATTTTCATTAGGAAAAAAATTGTTGGAATTTATTTTTGATGGTAATGTTTTAGGTCTACATGTCACAAATTCCGTGAACAATTGAATATAGTCAACTACCTCCAAACACCGCTTTACATGTCAAGCGACTCAGACTAGTGGCTACATTGCAACTCGATCAGTACTAGGAAGGATCGGAACACATGATGATGCTCACTACCCAGTAATCAATCAATTTCAAATGGATTGTTCATGTTAGAAATTTATCTTATTTTCGAAAACTCTCTCAGTATTATTTGTTAACGCATGTATTTTCCCTTTTTTGATGTTAAGGCCATTAGCTGACTATTCCTTTTTGATATATATTGATGCTGGGGGGATTAGCTCTATACTACCGCTTCATCGATAAACGGAAAAATATGATCTCTTACAGATAAAACCCTTCACAAACTAGGGCCTATTTGAACTCAGTTACTCAGTGGTTGATGGGTTATGGTTTGAAGCGAAAGTTACTGAAGTTGAGCCTTATTGTAAAAACCAACACTGAGACGAAAAAGGTATCTCCAGCTAACGAGTAAAAATGGGACGTAACACAATTCATGAGTTAAACTAATAATCAAAATTCATCTATACTAAAAAATTTTGTTGATAATAACAGAAATATTTTTTCTCATAATATCTCAACCGATAAAAAATCGAATTTCCGACGTTTTAACAGTTAGTATATATTGTTTTTATCTTCAGAGAATAAATGAAATAGAACTGAAAGTGGATCAGCTAGTTTTAGTTACAAAATCAGTTTTCACTTGAAATCTATCAACTACATGCAAGCTTTCATTGAGAACATTCTTTCGTAATATTTAAAATACATAGTCAGAATAAACTCTTGAATATTAAAAATAATGAAATTAGGGATTTTTACTAAACAATAGACCACTAAACGATATTATATTAAAGTAATCAGGCTTGTGGATATTGTAGAATGTTCATCGATTACACCACAGACCGGCCCTAGTTAGACAACCATAGTATTCACTAGTGACTCTCTTCGGGATGCAATTACAAAAGTTCTAGGAAGAAGTCGTAACTAATGAAGCTCAATCATGTTGAGTGTGAGTGTGGAAACAATAATAAAATAGCTGGGAACTATCGTGATCTGGTTAAAGTTAGACATCTATACTACTGGATTCTGACTCAGTGATCTACAGGTTAAGCGTTCGCCAAGAAAGTATTATTTCCGATCTCATGTGTGATTTCTAGTGCGTACCACTGAAGATTCCCATACTAGGATGAAAAATTTGTCCAGTACATGCCGTTTTTTCGTGTATTGCTAATTAAAATCAGTCTGTGACGTAACTTATGAAGATAACGTATTGTTTAATAGTTAAAACCCAACTTCTATCACTGATAGAAATCTCATTAGGTTTCCTGAAATTATTTTCCATATTTGCTGATTGAATATTCATCTAATGCTTTTTGAGAATAGATGACGTTTATTTAGAAGTAGATTTTTGTTTACATTGCTAGTAGATTATAATTTATACGAGTTTACATGTAATCATGAGCAAACTTTAATACAAAACTTTAGTATAAATTATACTGATGGATCACTAATTACCAATGTAAAAACCTGAATGAACAACTATGTATTTGATGAAAGGCTTTGAGTAATTGGTACAGGCATAATCGAAAATTATTTGAAATGCAGCCCTTAAAAATTATATGTCACATTTTGTAAATCTTCATAATACGTTATTGAGAAATATGGAACTATGTGTTTGGTGGAACATTATGTCTGAAAGTCAAAAGATAGTACCTATTTAATACAGATACAAGTCAAGTAAAATGACATAGTCAAATAATATGTATCATCCACCTGTGAAGTATGATTCTTAACAAGCGATGACCTAACAGTTTACATCTTAACTTAGGTTGTAATGCACCGTATAAGTGATCGCCTGTTGATTTCGCCCAGTCTATCAATTAACATACTTAGTTATTCTATCATTATAAACAGCTAATGAGTCATTTTAAGTTTTCATCTGAGTGCTACTGTAAAATAGTTAGTTATTTGAGCATAACAGCTTATTTGACGGACATACATTATTAGAGCTACAAGTAAGTTGTTGTTCAAAATGAAATTCAATTCTAGGATTATGAGTTTCAAACCTAAAAGAATAAATTAGTAGTATAGAAAAGATTTCTGTTTTAAGACTTTCTGATTTTTAATATGATCTTTACCAATGATTTTAAAAAAACATTGAAAATTATTTTTGATCAACTAGGAAATATAAAGCATTGGTAAACTTAGATTTCAAAACGTGTTCATGTAATCTTTAAAAGTTCTAACTAGTAACAGGATAGCTGTTCAATGTTCTATTTAGTAATGGAGTCTACCGTTGACGTATGCATTTAGAAAAGAAAATTTATTTAATATTTATTTGTAAACTAATTATATTAATTATATATATATATGTAATATTGATAATGTGAACAGAAATATATGTCTAACAAAAAACTATTTTTCTATATGATGACTTTAATTTTTGCACACAATAATCTCCACAAGTAAATGGTATAAGTTACTTGACTAAAACATCCAAGCAAAACTCATCTTTTGTTTCAGTTAATCACATGAAAGAAAACTGAATTAATATGTTCAATTAATTCCACAGAAAATAATGCATCGATTTTATTCCACTCCAGTTGACCATGACGACATTCTAGACCGCAGTAACAGAAATAATAACAATAAGGACTATAATAATAATAATGGTAATAATAATGACAACAAAATAGTAATGATAATAGTTTAACTGTGTTGATCCATATCAATGTGAAAATCCTCTAACGAAACAAGTTTCTACAACAAGGCTCACAGTAGTGCATTATCTCATCATGTTTTTTCTTTTTAGCGCAATTATTTTGATAGATTACCAAAATTAAAACTATCATAAACTCGAATAAATAGTTATTAATTAGTAAATTAAATATGTAACATCAATGTAAAGACAAATGTTTTGCTTCATTTGTGCATAAGTATATATAGCAGTTAACGTTATTCTGATATGTTTTTGGATGGAGTTAGCTGGCTAACTATATCAAAATTTATTCAATCTAATAGCTCATTTAAGACCACATATATACGACTGTATTACTGCATTGGAACTTGATGTAGTAGTACCGAGAATACTACCAAATTCGTCGGTGTTAGTTTCAAATAAACAGGCAAAGTCATTTTATTAGTTAGTTAATTGAAGCAATGACTAAACAATATCCAATTGAGTATAACTTGTTAAATCAATTGGTTTTATTGTCTTGTCTTGAGTTAGTGTTTCACAAATTTCTATTTGTTGGTTTGATATGATATATGTTGATGTTGAAAGTAATTTAGGATTCCCCATTGAATGAGTCAATTGATAATTGCATTTTGAAAAATCATCTGCATTTTTATGAGCAGGCAACAACTTTTTTGTTTTCATGCTTGTCTTATTCACAGTTTTTAATCGATTATTATGATTTTGTATATGATTGAATAAATTCTTCTTATAGGGATTCATTGTTCTGTTGTGACTTTTATCAAAATGTCTGCCTAAATCCCATTTCCATTTATATGATAATCCACATATAATACAGCGATGTGGACGCTGTTTTGAATGAACCATAATATGCTTTTGTAATTCTGTTGGCCATTTAGCTACATAATCACAATTTGGACATGGATAACCAGACATGTTCATATTAGTTGAGCGGTTCAATAGTATCCTCATGCTCTAGAAAGGATAATAACAAAAACGACAGAATTTTCATAGATTTAATTAGATTATTAAGCTTTAATATGATTCATTAATACAGAAATTTATCTCGGAAATGAATTTGTCTGCATTATTTTTCTGCGAAATCTCATTACTGGATTGATAGATTTAGTTGTTAGTGTATTGCATTCTTCAGCATTTTAAACTTCTAGCAGCTGACCACATCGGGATGGCTTAAAATAAATACCAGTTATTAATTACAGGTTCGTTTAGTAGACTCTGAGTCACGCATTATGCATTAACGCCAAGTCTCTGAACGTATGTTTAGTAGAGTATTGCTCAAAATCAAAGTTTGTAAGTTCCTACTAGATAGTTGACTATCAACTGATGGCAATAATGTCATGATTCCTACTATACTTCGTAGAATGTTTTCAATGTGATTCATCTTTATCAAATTAAAACTCATGTAGTATCATTAAGGCTTTAATCTGTTAATTTGTGGATACTACTTCATTATCATGGAACTGGTTTATAATAGATACGTTAATCGAAATACACTTTTTCGAACTATTTATTCATTTAGCAATTGTATTCTACAAATAAAACCAGTAAATACTGAAAGGTCAATATTTTAAAAGCTCCTATTGTTAAGAAGGTAGATACAACCATTGTGTTAAAAATATCGATAAACACTTTAAGTATCTTAATGATGTCACGACCATGAGATTTCGTTGTTTCCAAGTTCCCAAATATTATTACAAAGCATGGCTAGAGGTAGAATAATTAATGAATACTTTTGGTGAGTCCCAAGGTGAGACTAACTAGATGTTAATTGATTTTTGTTGGGTGGTCTTTTTCTGGTTACACTATACTATGAATTGACTGAAGTTCTAAATTGTAGACTTCTGAACCCTTGTTTGTTGTTTGAGTAGTATCTTGTCTACTATGCAATATGAAGATCCAAAGTATGACTCATTGTGAAGTAAAGAAGTTTTCACTTTTCAGAAGCCCCAAATGGCGATGATTTAGCCACTGAGTACATTTTTATCTTCAAAATCTTAAGGAATTTCTAAAAAAGTAGAACATTTCGGAATGAGGATTTAAATAAGTTAAATGTTAGACAGTTCTTCATTATTTGCTTGAGGAATTACAGAACGACCTCATGTATAAGATATAAAATTTATAGCCGTTAAGTTTCTCAGAAAATATTAAATCTCTCAACAAATTAATAAGACGTACACTTTTAAATTTAGGTAACATGCGGTTCAAAGTAATTTTTGGCTAACAATTTTCTAATAATTAATTAAATTTCTAGCCAGAATTGATTCACTGACTTATAGCTTCATATATATCTATATTTTTACTAACAAAATTAGTAAACATACTTGTAAACAACTGTCATCTAATGTATGTGATTTCCACGATTTTGTATGCTCCATTTCAGCTTGCAAAATAACATTATGCTCTTTGATAAAATGGTTATTTAATTCATACAAAGATGGAAATAGAACATGACAATGATTACATCGAGTGACTGGTTGTTTGCCAGGTGGACTACATTCAATATGATTGACTGTTGGCAGGGATGTTGTTATAGATGATGACAATAATGATGATTTGATAGTTGGCGACTGTTCCAATTTATTAGGTCGTCTATTCAACTTAATAAAATGCGCCATTTTTTTATTCATATCAGCATCGGTATATTGCTTTTTCTTCCAATAATTGTTCGAATCATTAATATGATCATCAAAAGCAGTCACAATTGTATTTTTTCTATTCATAAAACGTTTATGCGATCTTTTTCTTTTCATACTGAGATCATAGGATAAATGTAGATGGTTAAATGAAGTGTCATCATTAGTATGCTTGTTTCTTTGAGAATATTCACAATTTAGTTGACAAAATATCAATTGTTTATTATTAGTGTCTTCTCTTAGTTTTATATTACTACTAATATCATGAGGTGTTGTATGTATAGTAGTATTTATTGACTGTGTCAATGACTTATGGAGAGTAGATGACATACTTAAATCTAAAGGAATTTCATTTGTATTTTCTTCCATTTTTAATACATCATTAAATTTTTCACACTTCATATAGGAAGCATATTGTGGAATGACGAAATAGTCTCGGAAAGTTTTCTGAAGTCCTGATAAAAATAATGATTGATGTATATTGTTGTATGTACTACAACTTTCATGATTTATGCAGTTATTAGTCTTTAAATTATTCCTTTCATTATTATTATTATCATTGTTATTATTAGTATTAGTATTAGTAGCAGCAATAATATCAGTATTATCGTATGCTTTACAGTCATCATTTATATTATTTAATATTGGTGATTGTGAAAATGATAGTTTACTTTCAAATTTACTCAAATACTTCGTATTATAAAATAGTTTATTTTCATTGTTGAAAGTAGGCTTTGAAAACAATTCGAAAAAACAGTGAAATGCACGAATAAAATGTTCATTCTCTGTAGCTTCGTTTGTATTTATGTTATTAAAATAAACAGGTATTGTATTCATTATTTTTTATTAATATTGTCGCAACTATTTACAAAAGCAAGATTGAAACTGACCGTTTGGTTTCCTGTTCGAAAAAGAAAAATAAACGCAGTAAGATTTATTTCAAAATATCATCTCTGATCGGTTACAACTCCTATGTATGGAAGCTCATAAGTTAAAAGAATTTCATTGTTTTACTATTGTTTTATCAGTGATTAACTTTCATTAGATTATTAACTAAAAACTTGTGCATTTTCACTCAATATTTATTTTTCGTTCATAGGTGGACATTCAAGACAATTCGCAGAAAGATTTAAACCTGAGGTTTGTATTAACAGGCAGTTATTTGTAAAGTATAACACAAATCACAAATGAATTAATGTTCTTCTTAGGATTTCAACCATTTAAAATCAAGCTTATTTTACTTTAGTATTCAGTCATTTTGTTTAGCGGTTAAATCGAGATTTGACAGATGTAACTCACTTATTACTAAAGTCTAGAAACTATAATAATGGTTGTAGTTTTGTTGCTTATAATACGGCACTCGTCTTAGGTAACACAGCTTAAATTATACCAAGTCAAAATAAAAATGATAATTTATATGAAATTCAGTGCTGTTACATTTAGTAACAATAAATGAATAGGTAACACTAAACCATTCTGGCTGTAGCTTTCATTAAGTTCTTTTCAGAATCAACAAACTAAGATGCAGTAATTAAGACCATGAACAAATCAATTTTAGACTACCAGTGAAAACCTGGAAGCAGTGGGCGACAATTTCGTCCTAGTATGGGGCCGCTCAGCAGTGCGCATCCGGGATCCTGCACGTGGGATTATAACATGGTACATTCGGTTTCGCGTGCGAACGCTTAAAATCTGCCAACGAGTCTCATACTGTAACATAACGACCGTCCAGTGCTTCCAAATTTTCAATGGTGATTGGTTCATGATCTCAATCAAAACTCAACAAATCTCCACAACTCTTTACTAATAAAATGTAGTAGCTTACGTATATTAATAAATGGTCCTAACTATCAGCTATCAAATATAGCAAAATGATAAATCACTTACGTTTATAGTTACATAAAACAAATCGTCTGGGAGATATTATTTATAAATAACGTCAGTCACTACTTTGTAACCTGTCCGTGTAATTAAATGTCTATATCCACTGATTGATTGGAGTATGATCGGTTCAATTCACTTTTTCGTTTGTGTTATACAAGTACGATTGAATCACGAAGAATTGGGTAGATTATGAGACAATCACTTTCTTTCTCCATAGAACTCAAGACCACCGAAATTCTACTCTTAAACTACAGCTATTTTCTACCAGCACAACTAATTCAGAAGGGGTTTTGTGGATAATGGTGACAATGTTGACGGTGGCGCAACTTCGTGGATTGGTTGAAGTTAGACATTAACACCGTTGGATGCCGGCTCAGTGGTCTAGTTGGTTAAGCGCCTGGCGCGAGACTGATAACTCCTGTGTTTGAATCTCGCGGGTAGCGTGATCGTGGATGCGCACTGCTGAGGATTCCCATACTAGGACGAAACGGCCGTCCAGTGCTTCCAGGTTTTCCACAGTGGTCTATCTTCAAATGACTCATGATTTCAACTATTGAAACAACTAATTCAATTTATGGATGATATCAAATCAATGTGTATTAAGATTTACTGTATAAATCTGTTGTCTGTGGAAATCCACATCTTAAATTATAAGTAAATATAATGATATTAGAGACGAATGATTAAGTCTAATAATTCAGTTTAATTTCATTGGCAACATTGACTCAATATATAGAAACTTTAATCGACTCGGATGTTTTAAACCGAGTAAATAAAACAGAAAAACAATATAATTTATCTCTATCACACAGTTACATGATTTTAGTAGTAATCTTAAAACTATTGTTTTACTCAGTGATTTTATTAGCAATTTAATAAGTGAGTCTTTTCAGTGTATCATTTTCAGGTAAATTTTTGAATAAGGCATGACCAATGTTCAAATATTTGATTCAACATACTTTAGTACTACAATAAACGCAAACATTCTGGGGCATTCAGTTTCTGTCATGTATCATTATACTTAATAACCACTTTTGATGAATCACTTACAAATGAAAACATTTAAATTCCTCATTTCTTTGCATTATTTATCCTGACTAAAGAGTAGTCAAATGCCACTAGCCAAATACTTAGATAATATCGAAAAATTCATTTTAATTTTATCAAATAGACGATGAACTATTAGTTCGATTTGAAAATACAAGAATAAATATCTAAGTTATTGAGTATAATTAAGTTGAGATAATATATCTTAGTGAGTTTTCAAAAGCCTTTTTTGTTAGTCTATACACAAATTCCATTAAATGTATAAATATAAAGTGAAAAAATGCTAATATCAATGAGTATGCAAGTTATTGACTTGTAACAGATAACTAATAATTAAGAACAGAGTGTTTGTGTTTTTGTATTTTAATAGTTTAGAATAATGACATCATCAGGATTATAAAAAGTCGGTAGATGTAACCGTGCCCCATATAAAGTGCACAAAATAGTGAGAACCATGAGAAATTATAGAATTGTGTCATTTCTTTTTGAAAATTTTCAAGACAAGGAAATGATTCAAGGTAGAAATGCGAACCAATAAATGTCAATTCTTACCTCAAGATTGTTTTCTTCCGAATGCTTGGTGGGACTAGGTTTGATCCCTTGTTATGCCACATATGTGGTTCTGAGAAATTTTATACCAGAGTGACATAGTGGTCGATTGCTTTCTGATTGCCAATGATTTTTTTTACCAAATTTAGTCCCTAATATAAACAGTTATCGAACAATCTTCATCAATACCCTACATCAATGTCAACAATTACTTAGTTGAGTGATTTATTTCAATTAATTCAACCTGTCTAAAAGCTTTTATTACAAATTAGCATAAGCTAGATAATCATTTGGAAACCAGGATGGTACTGATCAGCTATCTCTTTTTAGTTTGGGACTTGTTAGTAGTATGGATTTCAAATACTTCGAAACCTATTTCTTAAATTGATATTTTGATTCAATAATTATAGATTGATAAAAGTTATTGTTATATTGAATGAAAAGTTTACTATCTTGCAACTTAAAATAATTTAACGTAAGTTTATTTCCCAAAGTTTGGTTATTTTCATTCAGAAAGTTCAAGCAGACTACTGGGGGAGATATTTATGAAAGGCTTGCAAATTTAATTTGTATTTAATTTTGTCAGATATTTTAACGCGAATTCAGTATAGAAAACGTTAGTTTCATAAACTAACATACAATCGAGAGAAAAAACTTTCGACCTCAATATACTATTTCTATGATTATCTACCTTAATTTTAATGTTTTTAATGTTCAGTGATTTCAATGAAATGATTAATTCATTGAAAAACATAAACATTTCTCTTCTGAAGAAAAAGAATACGTAGCGTTATAACCGATTTGAGAGATAATCAGAATAATGATAGGTTTGTAATATACCAATTGTTAGGAAATAAAATTCATGACGTTTTGTCACTCGGTGTAAGCCACTTTTTCAGGGACTTCAAGAAAAAATCTACCTAAAGCTCAAACAATATGAACTTATCAAGTCAAACCTCTGTCGTAGTGCTTAAAACTTAAGAAATATTTATTGTCAGTTTTGTTATAATATATACATATAATCATTTACTTACCAGCCAGTTTTATTCTTGACTGATTACTATTAAAACATGAACTAACTAAAAAGCTTATATAACTAAAATAAAACGATTCTATGTTACTCAGCGACACTTCATCTACTCTAGATGACAAGGTAATAAAGATGAAGCTTGATCAGTCGTTACATCTCATTAGTCAGCTGTTACGATAACCGATAGATAAGTGAGGTTACAAAAATTGAAAATCCCTGATAGTTGGAATTTACATTCAGATGAATTACTTATATTCATATGAAGCTATATTTTCTTGATCAGAAGTCATTTGGAACAATTTATCAACTGAATTATAGTATTTGTAATTTAAACTTCAAAATTTACAAATTCATTTAAGTGTCTTACCTAAATGAAACTTGATCTTGTAAGTCATATGAATGACATTTGGCAATTCATTCTACTATCCATAATCAAATACTTGAAACGACTTTAGTCAATTGAATTATTTAGTGAAACGTTAAGAAAAACAAAATAAAGAAACTTTAATCCCCCCAACCCTCCTACTACCTATTTCATCTCTCACCCACGTTTAATTTTGTGAATTCTGTTAATTTTCAGTTTCCTGCCTTTTTTACTTTGCTTGCTTCCCTTTTAATTGTTCTACTTTTTTTATAACCTGAAATATGATTGGACACAAGTTTACTGCAAACATTGCTCTATTTCTTTTTTTTGCGATTATGCATTAGTTTCCTTGACTGAAAAACTGAACAGGAAGCAAATGACTTCTATCGTATAACTTGATGAACTAACAAAACATTGAAGTACAACATTTCTATTTTGATTTTTCTTCACCTGTTAATAAGAGAAATAATGATACTGAAATAACAATAAATGCTGAAAGAATGATTGGTTCTCTGCTGATAAACCATTTACTCTCCGATTGGTTTTAATGCTTAAACCAATAAACATAATTCATAATATGTAGGAGGATTTTCAATTGTATTGATTTGTAATTTACTTTCCTATTTTTAACGTATATATCATGTTCGGATAGAGTATCAATAATTTTTTTGAAAATAAGAATTATATAGATTGATTTATGAATAAAGTAAGCATTAGTCAATGTTAATGGTTAAAAGACGTATTTCTTTCACTGACAGTTAATAAATGAATACCAATACTCGGATAACAGAGCGTAAAACTGTGAGAGAACATCATCAAAGATGAAACTAAGTGCAACAAATTGCTGAAAATATTTAGATGGCATGATCTTAAGCTAATTTATGTATCAATCAATAAAACGACCATATTTATCAAAATAAAGTAGTCAGTTGTTTGTCCAAAAGAATTTCAGTTTGTGATTAG